CTGAGTTGCGGCCGGGGAAGGGTTGGTGATTTGAGGGGGGCCTAAGCTGGTTGACGCCACCATGTCCTTCATAGGCGGGGGAGGCGCACCCGGCCAGGGAAGTTGGGCCGGGTCGTGTGTAAATGGATCGTAATTGCAAGCTTGGGAGCGTCGGCTACAGTTGGTGCACATCGGGATCGCACGATCGCACGGGATATCTTGATCTGATCGAGATGTACATCAATTTCCAATGGGCTACAAACCCTGTAATGCATACGTACCGCGACAAAAGTGGCACGGGGCTGGGCTAAGGAAGGGTAGAGGCATGATCATCCCAGGGATGCCAATGGCAGAGATCGCAATGCTAAAGGTCACGCATGTCAACACAAGGACTATCGATGGTAACAATAACAACATACTTGGGAGGCTCCGGTGCCGCTGCACCTTCTGCACCCTCTTGTCCGGCAGCGGTTCCATCTTTCTTCTTTCGGCCGCCACGTCGTGCACGAGGTGTTTCAGGATATACACACTCCACCCCTCGCCGGTGACAATTGGAGCACGTCGGTCTTTCAGCACTGCACTTCTTACGACGATCTGAGGTCGGTAGTGTAAATCCACGTGGATAAGGGCATGCCCGCGTAAGACAGGAAAGGTAAAATGACGCACCCCGGCAGAAATTACAAGCAATCTCGGAAACCTTGCCTCGTTTCTTGAACACTCGTGGTATTCTCTCCACGGGAGGAGTTGATTCGGCGACTAGATTGGAGCCAGATGGGCCGGCGACGGGGGCTTCGACGACCGGCGGGAGCGTCGACGTCGAACCGTGGATCGACCACGCTTTGTTCTCGCCGGTGTTGGGGAGGGATCCCCTGATCCTCTTACGTTCAAAGTGGGCCTTGTTGACGGTTTGAAAGGTGCATGGGATATCTCTGTTTGCGCAAGTCTGGCAGGGAGGTCCCCCGATACAACGTTCTTTGCGGCCTGGACAAGAGTCAGCAAGAGTCAGCGTTGGAGGATCGAGGCTACGTACGTTTGCAAAAGTCGCATGAGGGGGTGTGCCTTCGTATTCCAGAACCTCCGCCAGTACCCGGACCGTATCCGACGACTCCGACGAAAGGGGCGGCCGCTAAGTTCGCTCTCGCCACGGCTTCCTGATCCATCGGATCAAGCTCTGACCTAGTCCGTGGTACATTGTTATTTCCGCCCCCGGCTTTTACGACCTTCTTTCCCTTGCTCGACCGTGTCCGCGTGTCGTCCTCGTTTGTACCGTCTGTTGACGCCACGACCTCTGGTAACGGCACCCGTGGAAACGACGACGGTGGCTCGTCAACCCCCATCATCCCCACACTGGCACCCTCAGCATCCCCTCCCGACGCGTTCGGTGTCGTAGGCATGTGTGTTGAAGGAGAGTCGTTGGGCGTGTCCATCGTCGGGGCGGCGGATAAAAGTTGAATTACAAACTGGACTGAGCTACGACCACACGCCGCGTATGAGGTGGATGAGTGGATATTATGTTCGATATCGCGAGAATGGGACGGATACGCTAGGATACGCTATGAACAGCGTCACCGAACAGGCGCGCAAAACGGTCCTGGCAGTGGTCCGACGGAGGTGGCGGAAGTGTTTGATGTCGGAGTAGAGCAGCAACCTTTTTCATCGGCGATGCGCGGGCTTTGTTGCGCCAAACCCAACGTCTACACTTGACCACATACGACACCTAAGTAGTCTTGCAACACTCTACAACTTGAGTAAAGAGGTCCTCAGTTCGAAGGGTCCTCCATGATGGTCACTTCGGCTACAACCCAGGACACCGGTAAGTCAATCACTTTTCTGGAACATATAAGCTTGCGTTGAACCCTCGGACAGAGGAAGAGCTACGGTTCGAAGGTATTGATGGGGACGAGTGTGAAGAGTTTATTCGAGCTGTCCGTATTAAGGCCTTGAATGGCGGGAAGCAGCGGGACAACGACTGGATCATCGACTATGTCAATGGCTGTTTCGCTGGCGAAGCCTTGAGATGGCACCTCACGCTTCCACAAGAAATCCAAGATGACTGGCATCTGCTACAACAGGCCATGCTGGACCACTATCCAGCTGTCGAGGAAACAAAACACGCACCTCGGTGGGTTTTTGTTGCCTTCGGTTCTGACTTGTGTTCATGTTTGGGATCTATGTAGAACCTCCCTGCCCACTCCAGCCGCCGTAGGTCCTGCCAAGTCACTCCCGCCAGAGCCACGTACGGGTCGTATCAAGGTTGTCACC